ACCATATAGCAAAATCTTTAGTAGGCGGTAGTATTTCATTCTTAAGCGGCTGGTCTCAATGGTGGTGATCTCCGCCTTTTGGAGGACCTCGAGGTTCTTAAAGAAGTCACCGCAATGAATATTGAGAATACGATGGAGGCAGCGCTGATAGAGGCGCTCGAATACGATAGCGTCCATACGTACACCAGGTCTGGCATCGTACAAGAAAAATAATATGCTGATCATTTTGATTTATTTCAGATTGCTGTTGTCCCAGACTTATTTGCAGTCTCCATAGGCGGAGCTTGTATAGGCCAGTCTATTGTCCACTTCTTAGTCGATCTTAGAATCTGAAGAGATTGTACAACCCAGATAGGTGAACTGGTAGACACCTTTCAGCTTGGTCTGGTCAATGAATATTCTTGGTTGATACTACTCTTCATGGGAGGGAGGCTTGCCAATGAGTTCAAGTCTGGAAATCAAAGTTTTTTCAAAGCAAGAAGTTATTTGCTGGAAAGCTTTTACGTTTTAGTGTGGGGGACGGGGGCATTACCTGCCCCAAGGTCTTCCTTTGGTCTTGTAGACCTCTCAGGTTGAAGAGACTCCCATCAGTGTGTAAACGAATGTATTTCTCGTCATCTTTGTCCAGGTCTCACCTGAGCATCATGCTGAAGAGGACTGTGAACGGTGTGAGGGCTACGAGGCGTCTCAGTCTGAAGCCGTTTGAAGGGCTGTGACAGGTCGTTGCTTTGTCTGATCTGGCTGGATCATGTTCAAAACCAGCGGCAACCTGGCTTTTCCAGGATTCTTTAAAAACCTTTTCTGCTCACGATGTCAGATGTTTCGAGTAGATCGATAAATGTGTTTCGCTCTTCTTCTATATCTGTTTAAGGACATGTCTGTTTTGCTAGGTTGCTTCTGAAGCCGCACTGACTTTCAGAAAGTTGAGCTTCGGCAATGAACGATACAAGATTGTTCAACAGCAATCTTAAAAAAATGTAACTTCGATGAAAAGCTCCATTTTCTGCCTTGTTCTTGTACCGGGTAATGGTAACTCCACCACAACGGTCGTGTACCCTGCTTCCGATAAAGGGCAAAAAACTTGTGTAGAGCTTGGTATGGAGAGCCTCCATTTTTCTAGACCTCAAGTGAAACACCATTAACCTCGGCGACTTAACTGCTCCTCAGCTGTTCTATCTTGCAGTTCTTCAGTCTCATCATGTTCAGTTTTCACTGGCAGTTGTGTAATGCGAAACTTGTAGGGCCACGAACAGTGCGTTTACACTGTAATTGGCGCTGAAGAGGGTGTGGAAGTGTGCAGACCAGCACCTTAAGATAGATTTCTTATCAGTGAGAGCTTCTTCCCATCTGCACTCAGTATGGGGCTCCACTTGTGGTAAGAGTGGTCCGTACACAGGGTTAGGGTTCCGACGATAGTCGTCCAAGGGTGCACATAGCGTGTGTCGCCCAAGCGTGCGCTGTGCCAGGCTGAACCACCACACGTCCTGGATTACCCGCACCTTTCGTTGTATGGTTCTGCAAGCATGGCGAAAGGCTTATTTCTTCATTAATTTGACCAAGCGTGTCAAGATTATGTTTGTAAGCCGAATCGTAAATTAGTCAGGCATCCCTGACACGCGTAGCCCCCTGGGGGCTAGACACTGTTTCGAAAACATTATGGGATAGGGGGAAAAAGTACATGGCGAGAGAGTTTTGTAATTGAGAGTGACGGTGAAAATATTTTTTTAAGAAAGCAGTTCCGACTCGTCAGAATATTGTCTGAAAAAGTATTTCTGACAAGTGGACATAGTTTGTAGATCTCTTCTTTGCTAGCAATTCTTGGAAATTAAGGTCGTTCTCTTAAAAACCAGTTCTTGTTCTTGTTGTCTGCAGGACCTGTCGGGAGAGTAGAGGCGTATACACTAAAGAGGGTGGTATGTTGATGGTCTCGTAGTTGGAGACGTATAGAGATGACGGAATATGTATAAAAGAAACCCATTCTGTTGAACCACGTGAAGAATGCTTCGTGTATTTCAAAGGATGCGCCCTTTGAAAATGGCCGGAAATCATCTAATCCAGTTCAGAACCTACTCCCTCGTGTAATTTTCTCTTTGTGTCATTGCTTAGGCCTATAGACTTGCTAGCAATCATTCAAATACACAGCCAAATATAACCGTCGACTTCATCAACATTGTGGACTGATCAGCACTTTTAGCCTTCTCGTTAAACTTAATATTAAGAAATTTCTAAGTAAAAGGTCTAGTTATGTTCTTACACTGCACATCAATGACCACCACTGTAGAGTCCTCTCCACAAGTGTTGTTTGCAGTGCACCTGTATTCTCCAGCTTGAGCTCGGCTGGTGTTAGTGATGTTCAATGGGTTTCCCGTAATATGCTCACCAGTCTCGACTTTTGACCAATATACAGTTGGATCAGGAATACCTGCAGTCACATTACAGTATACTTCAACGTTACCACCTTCTTTGACGACTTTATTGTTGACCTGCTCTACAGATGCCGGGACTGTAAAATACAATCAAATGTAGATCTCTTATGCATGTCCTTCGCATGGAATCAGATACGCTTAGGTCGGTGCTTCAATGTAAGAAAAAAGATTGATTAGCAGACTTTTGTAGACAATCTGAATTTTTTATCTTCCAGATGATGCAGATATACAAGGATGTGCCTTACAGCTGCAGCAGGAAAATCCTATCCTACATCTCAAATCTCCCTCGCGTTTTCCAGCAATCTTCTTCCGACTCCCGGCTTGCTTATACATGGTAATCTTTTTATCACTCATTGGGTATTTGAAATACATGTAGATTTCTGCGATCAAAATGCAACATAGTTGAAAAAATTCAAACTTACCATCAGTAGTAAAGGTAGTATTACCACTTTTTCCAATCCCTTGGATAGAATTATTAGCCTCGCATCTGAACACAAACTCGCCAGCAGTTTCCATCGTTTTCATCCAGGCTCCTGATATTCCCATATTCTTAATCACGGTGTCATTTTCAAACAACAAATAAATGTGTACTGGTGGGTTGGCTTCAGCAGTGCAGGTGAAGTGTATTACAACTCCTGCACACACTTTGCTTGTTGTATTTGTAGTTAAGCGGACATTTTCAGGTAGATCTACAAGAAAGATAGCCAAGGAATTAAACGATAATAATTCAGAAGACATGATTGATCATCGCAGTTATATACACAGCTTAAGCAGCTGTGAAATCAAAGCCTGAAAATTTTCTCAGGCTTTGATTTCATGGCAGCTAGCTTAAGTTGTATATATATTCACTTCCAATAATAATTAACATTGATTTTCGTTTTTGTCATTATCTACTTAAACGACACGGTAAGCTTTTTGTCGAGGAACTGGCGGACGAGGAAATTTGATGCTATTGAAACAAATAATTTCCAGCGAAGTGAAGCTACCAAATATGCTATTTTTTAAGAACAGCAAATAGGGCAACTATGAGACCGATAGTTCCGAGACAGAAATATGTTCTTACACTGGACATAAATGCTTGTCACTGTAGAGTCCACTCCACAAGTGTTGTTTGCAGTGCACCTGTATTCTCCAGCTTGAGCTCGGCTGATGTTAGTGATGTTCAGTAAATGTCCCTCAGTCGAGTTATAGCCACCACCCTGCACTTTTGTCCAGATGACATCTGGATCAGGAATGCCAGTAACATTACAGTACAATTCCACATTGTCACCTTCCTGGACAGTTTTGTTCTCTGCTTGTTCCGTAGCTAGTGGAACTGGAAACAAAAATGAAAAGCTATTCAAACTAAAGGGTTTTTTTTTAACGTAACTAGATGAACGCAGAATTTGTAAGCTTATTAGTTGGGAGACAAATATCTCAGGTTTCTCCAAATTGTAACTTTTATTTAGTTTCTACTGTGATGATTAAAAAATAGTGAATTGTGTGGATTAAAACTTTTATTGTGACTGGCCAACTTAGTGAGTGGAAACTCTTGTTACAACAGTAATCAATATTGACAATTGAAAGTTTCCGAGTGTACAAAAAGTTGAGGCTTCTAGAAATCCCTCTGATGTAC